CATGTGTGTGCCTGCATCTCTGAGTGTGTGTACGCATGCATGGGCATGTACCACGCATGTGTGCCTGCATCTCTGAGTGTGTACACATGTGTGCATGTGCGTGTGTGGGTGTGTACCGCACATGTGTGCCTGCATCTGTGTGCACATGTGTGCGCATGCATGTGTGGGTGTGTACCACACGCGTGTGCCTGCATCTCTGAGTGTGTGTACACGTGCATGGGTGTGTACCACGCATGTGTGCCTGCATCTCTGAGCGTGTGTGCACACGTGTGCATGTACATGTGCATGGGTGTGTACCACGCATGTGTGCCTGCATCTCTGTGTGTGTACACACGTGTGCACGTGCATGTGCATGGGTGTGTACCGCACACGTATGCCTGCATCTCTGAGTGTGTGTGCACACGTGTGCGTGTACATGTGCATGGGTGTGTACGACGCATGTGTGCCTGCATCTCTGAGTGCATGTGTACATGCGCATGATCTCTGGCTGCACTGTGTGCATGTGTAAACCAGTGTGCATGTGTGTCTGTGAGTGCACATGTGCACATAGGTGTGTGCACTGTGCCTGCATCTCATGAGTGCACTTGTGAGTGCCTGTGCATGTGTGCAGAAAGTAAGGGGGGAGACTGTGGGGTGAGCACAGGGAACAGCTCGGCCAGGAAGTACCTGAGACTGTGGGGTATTTTTACCTTGGTTCTCCCACACTGAGAAGACAGGGAGCCGAGTGTCCGGGGTGTGCAAGCCCCCTGCTGCTCAGGATTCTCTCACACAAGTGCTCCCCGAACGAGAGCTGCAGGCTGGCCCCTCCACGAGGCAGGGGAGGGCAAGAGTGGCTGTGGCCTCCCACGGGCAGGCTCTGCTCACGCGCGGGGCCAGGCCAGGGCTCCCCACTCAGAACCAAGGCCTGCCATGGGTCTCCATAGGGCCGTGGGGTTTCGGGACAGTGCACACGGTGGCCTCCGGATGCCACACATGGGGACATGGCTTGGAGGAGGAGGGAGGCCAGGATGCCACCAGCTCAGTCGTCAAAGAGGCCTGGTGCTTGTGTCTTTCAGGAATTCGCAGACTCCGTGTCCCAGCTGGTCACGCAGAAGTTCCACGAGCTGACTGTGGGCCTGGCGTCCGCGCACGCCCGCCACAAAGCACTGGCAGGAATCGTCATGACCACAGGTAATGCCTCTCGTTTTCCCTGTGGGATCCCATCCGCAAGGAGAGGAGATTTAGTGTCTGCCTGACCTTGGGAACCAGACGAGTCTCTCTTCCACACGAAGATGTGAAAAAGAAAAACAACAATAGGACCCAGAGAGCTCAGTGCCGATTCTAGATGATCAGCAAAAGCATGCTGACACCTCCTCAGACCGGCTCTGCCCGCATGCCTCGACTCCCACGAAGAAGGGCCGCGTGAGGACCTGGCCCGTGTCTTCCCTGTTAGGCTCCCCGCCTCGTGGTTGAGAACACCGTGCACTGTTGATGTTGGTACGGCTGGAACCCAAGGTCAGGCCAGGCCACAGATTAGTCGCCTCAGGCAGGGGTGAGGAGGCTGCCTGCGTGCACCTCGCACTTCCCCGCAGCACCTGCATTTCCTCCGTGCACAGGGGGTGGCCTGTGGCAGGGAGTCTGAGCCCCCACTGGGGTGCAAACCACCCCCTGAGCCCCATCACGGGAGACATCCGCCAAGCGGTTCACAGACGTGGAACCCCATCCCACACGTGGGGCAGGATGGGAGGGGGACGTCCAGACCACAGGGAAGGTCGTGGCCTCGGACAGCCAGGGTGGGAGGCACAAGGGTTAACTTCCAGCAGTTTTTGGTGAAAACATCTATTAATGGTAACTAACCAGTTGGTCATTTGAACTGTGTACTCTTTCTGATTCCAGAGTTGGGCATGAGTTGGTCATGACCGACTCAAAATGATGCTTGCAGAAATAACTGGCTTTGGGTTAAGTTTCACAAAGAGGATTTGCGTGTGTAGACAAAGACCATCTACATGATGACCAAACATATGTATGTTGAAAATCAGTTAAAAACCAGAGAGTCGGCATATTTTTCCTACCGTTCTAGCCCTGAGGGCCCCTCAGGTTCTGCCAAGCGCAGGACGCTGGGGGAGGGGCAGAGCCACTCAGGACCCCAGGGCTTTAGCGCAAGGGCATATATTGCTCAACCTTTCCATTATGGGCATCTTAGTAAAACAGAATGAAAAATGCCTCCCCTGCTGTAATTGGGGAAGGAGAATGAGGCGTATGAAGTGCTCTGAAAGGTAACGATGACTTTATGAGGACGATGTGCTAAGGCAAAGGCAATTCTGTTTCGTCAGTGACACCACTGTATCCGGGGCCGGCATTCTGCCCAAGCTGCCGACACTTGCCCTTCCATATATTCAAATGTCTGCCTCCGTGTAGAAAGTGAAATATTCTAAATTGAGGGCTAAGGGTCCACCTCAGTCAAGAGCATTCCCGCTGGACCTGGCATTCCTTTCTCCGGCAGCCAGCAGCCGTGGACCGGATGCATCTACATGTGGGGCACCATTCTGCACACCCAAGGGGGTGACAAGAAAAGACACAGCCTCCACTTCAGGATACGGTCTAGGGAACCGTGACAGATGGTGCTGGCCAAGGACAATTGCTTGGGTTTGACTCCCAACTCTACCTGCAACTAGCCATGTGACTTTAGGTCAATCTGCCTCTTGGCAACTCAGAGGGAGGGAAGGATGGAAGAAAGGAAGGAAGGAAGGAAGGAAGGAAGGAAGGAAGGGGAGGAGGAGGGAGAGAGGAAGGGAGGAAGGGAGGAGGGAAGAAAGGATACAAGGAAGGAAGAAGAAGGGAGGAAAGAGGGAAGGAAGGAAGAGAAGAAGGAAGAGATGAAGGAAGGAGGGAGGGGAGGAGGAGGGAGAGAGGGAGGGAGGAAGGAAGGAAGAGAGGAAGGAAGAGGAGGAGGAGGGAGAGAGGAAAGGAGGAAGGAAGGGAGGAGGATAGAAGGTGAAAGGGAGGGACCTGTGTCTCACCTCCATTGGGCTCTATTCCCAACCCCAGCACTTAGGTCGCTATGATCTGCTGAGTAGTTTTTCCAGGATTTCCCAGCTCTGGAGCTGATTGTCCAATATCTTCCCACTTTTCTGGAAAACTCAATTCCAGGAAGTCTTGAAAGCTACTCTCAGACCTCCCTTGGAAAACAGTAACATTTTACAAAGACTCATGGGAAAATGGCGAGTGAATACGCTGGTTTTTGTGCAGGCAATTTACCTACGTGAACTGAATTTATTCTATGAAGTGAGACTGTACACGAATTAGTGACTATAAACACTGAGGAATAAAGTGCTGAAACTTGCCTTCTTGTTATAAAGAGAAAGTTTCATAAACACACTGATTAACAAGAGATTAGGGAGATGTGTGCAAAATCACTGGTAGAAATATTTTGTAAAAACCATTTACTTAAAGTTGCTGTGACACCTGACCTTCCTTCTAGCTCAGGTGTTTAAGCAAATGCGCAGGAACCTCCAAGAGGGAAGGATGCTCTTACTTACTTACAAAGTTACAAAAGTTACAAACGTGTGTGGATTCTGAAGGAAAACCTGATTGCGATGCCTCCCATTTCCAGGTGGGACACCAGCTCGTCCACATCACTCAGCGCCTGCAGGTGCTTTCCCCTGATGAGCCCGTAGGACAAATCGGTAGCAGAGACATGTGCTTACGGATAGAACAGTTCTTACTGTTACCCAAATAGCGCAGTATCTGGTAAAAACTCAAGCAGAAGGGAGCTCGGGAAGGGACACGGCGTTCTCCCACCGGCTCGGTAGGGAAGCTGGCGCTGATCACTTTCCTTTTGGGTCCTCGTGACTCCAAACACTATATTTGTTCTGTATTTCCATTTTTTTCAATTCTGAATATTGATTTGCGCTGGTAAAATCTGACGCTTTTTGCTTTCTCATGATCATGTTTGTAACATTCATGGGTTCAGGTAACATGCTTACACTTCTCTTCCTTATGCTGTCAAGCGGAGAGCGCGCCGTCGGCCCCCTGGCCGGCCTGGCGAGCCGCCTCGTCTCACTACGCGCATATTTTTGTGTTACGGTAACTAGCACTTACAGCCTCTTCTGTGCCGTACTTCAGCCTTCCATCCTCTGTCCGGTGAGCCTAAATGTTGGAAAGCATTACACAGCCTCGCACGGTCAGGACGCGGTAGGGGCCACCGCCGAGCGCGGGCTGAGCCGCGGTTCCTGTGCTGTCCCTGCACCATGTCCCTACAGCGCCAGGGGCCGCGCTCGTACATTCTCACTCCTGCCACCACTCACTCAAAGCCGCCTCACATTTAGGGTTGACCCACATTTGTTGCTAGACCTCCTCAGAGAGCCTCTGAAGTCTTTTGTGTGCTTTCCGGGTGCTCTGCTTTCTCTTCTTTCACTGAAAGGAAGGAAGTGCTTCTGGCACGACTGCTGGCCAACGAGTCCCCATGTCTGCGGACAGGCCCACGCCCTTCCCTGGGCCCCAGCCGTACCCCAGCACCAGCCTCGCCGCTTTCTCCTCCCTTCTCCCAGCCTGACAGATGCAGCCTCAAGAAACACCGTCAAAACGTGTGGGGACAGAAACCGGGCATGCTCCCTCACAGGCCGCATGCCGACCACACTCTCAAGCTCCTGGAGCAGCTTTGCTTGGGGAGAATTCTGCGCTTGACATTATTTTCCCTGCGCATCTGGGGGGGATTTTTCTATTATCTCTTACCTAATGTTTCTAACCAGATACATCTGGCTGACGTCTCTGCCGGATCACCCTGCCCTGCCTACGGAGGGGAAAGGCCCTTTTTTGTAAACTGAATGTTCTATAATTTCATAAGAATGTGTGTAGGCGTGAGCCACGCACCTGCTCTGATTTATTTAAGCTGTTTATTTCTGTACTTTTTCTCGTATTACTTCTTTGATAAATTCCTCCCTTTACACACATTTTCGTCCAATTTTCAGTATTCTGACCAGATCCTCGGTCTCTTCCCATTCCTGGTGCATCTACCCATTTCCTCTGTGTCCTTGGGCCCTTCTGAAACTTCCCTGACGGCTCTTCAAATGCCCGCTGCTTCTTAATTTCTGCAATGTGTATCACTCAAGACATCTCTCTTGTTCTCAGGTTCCTCCTCTCGTTTTATAGATGTGACGCTCCTCACAGGTCCCTGGGGAGCCTCAGCAGCTGAGCCTCCTCTGTTCTTGGACTGTGCTTCCTCTGATCAAGCCCGCTTTGTTTATAGTCAGTCTTTCTCTTTTATCCTGCTTGTGGCTTCCATACTTGTGAATATTCACATTTGTGAGAAAAATACCAACTCTACTCTCGCAGCGCAGCTCCAGTTTCCCCTGTAACTGGGTCTCTCTCCCCAGTGGAAGGCAGGATACATACAAGCACAAGCCTCCTCGTCGACCCAGGTGGGTCGGGGACCAGCCAACGGTCCTTAATTAAAAGTCACCTGGTGAGCCCGCCCTTGGTGGCTGCTGGCTCAGCGCCTGCTTTCTCTGGGCCCGCCCTGCAGGTGCTTGCTCCCTCTCGATGGCACCTCCGTACGATGCCGGGATTTCATCCTGTCCCTCCACACCCTCCGGAATCCTTCCAGTCTGTGGATCCCACAGGAGGAAAAGCAATGTGTTGCTCCCTCTGCCCTCCTCAGCCAGAAACCTGGACATTGTTTAGCCAAGCTGTCAAGTGATGGCTCTGTCTTCTCCTTTGTTAAGAAATCCTGGTGTTTCCATGGGAAAGTGACTCTTGAAGGAGCTATTAATAATGATGATTTTCACTTGATATGCAAATTTATAATGTTGATAGCACTTTTGCATACACTAATCAAGTTAATTGCTACAACCCTGAGAAGTGGGAGATGCAGGAATCTTAATTACAGCTTTTAAGAAATACAGACAAGGAGATGAAGGGGCTAGGTGCCTTTTCTTGAGTCACAGGAAGGCTGGCGGAGCCAGGAGGTGGGCAGCGGACTCCGCAACCCTGCTGAAGGGTCCCTACACATGTGCACGAGGCGTGGTGCTGAGATGCATGCTCTTCACCTCGCTTCTAAGCTTATTAAGTAAATGACCAGAAGAAAGACTTCCCTGGTGCGTATTTTCAGAAGTTTATGTTCCAGCCTGTCTTTGCTAGCCTGGTCTGCAAAACACATTCAGAAGCTGTGGCTCTAACAAACACCCTTCCTA